ATATAAAGTTTGGCATTATGTATCTTTATGTAACATCTTCATAGCTCTTGACTTTAACATTTAACATTCAGATGTTCACACAAGGACTCCTGCAGAAGAAATTTACCATAACATTTTCAATTAAAAATACCTCTACTTGATGTCCAAGAACAACGATTTCTCCAATGGTGCTAAAGGAGTCTAAATTTCAGGCTGAATTACACCAGAGCGCTGAGAAAACAAAAAAACCCTCACAGCTGGAGCAGTAAGCCACATACCGACATTCTCAAGGATTTCATTTTACTTGGATCTAGACTCTCAACACTCATAGAAGCAGTGGTCAAGAAATTAAATGCCATATTGCATTGAGCAAATTTCCTATAAAGGGTTTCTTTAAAACCCTAAAGAGCAAGGATGTCCCTTTGAGGAATCAAATGCACCTGACTTAAGCCCTGGTGTTTCCAACCATTTCATATCCCTGTGAGGATTGTATCATGATTAAGTAGGACAGAACTGACTACTTTGACCTCTCGTGTTGGTAGGAAATGCTGAATATACCATGGCCTGCCAAAATAACACACACACAAATGTGTTTTGAAGGAAGTGGAGCCAGAATGTTCTTTTGAAGCAAAGATGGTTAAAATATGGTCTCACAAACTTCGAGCATATTCTTGGGAAGGGTTTGCTGTTGTGCACCAAAGAGTCAGAACCGCCCCATAGCTGATCCTCCAGCAGGTTTTCAGAGGCAGTTAATTGCATGGGAGGAGATTACCCCTTCTTCTTCTGTGGAGCAGCTGGTGGATTTGAACTGTGTGCCTTTGAGATTGCAGGTCTAGTCCCTGGAAAAAGATACCATGATTGGGAAAGGAGAATATCAGTGAAAAAGAGGAAGACCTTCCACAAAATGGGTTGACATGGTGGCTGTAGCAGTGGACTTAGGGGACCCTGAAGATGGTGTAGATCAGGCCATGCTTTTATCCAATGGTACTTAGAGGTTGCTGTTTCTTGGTTATATTGTTGCTATGAGTTAGATTTGACTCAGTGACACCTAATAACAACCTACCACTTTTTCTGTGTAATCCACGTTTCCTAAAGGGACATAATAAAATAAAATTTCCAAACTTAAGATCTGTGAGAAAAATACCAATGGAGCACTTGATCCACTGTTTTCCCATCAATTCGCCTTTTAGGCGAGTTTTCAGCTATTGTCCTTTTCCTGGGGATTTATCCTATTGATTCTCCTAGTGCGTAAAAAAAAAAAAAAATTGCTGAGGGGCGATGATAAGAATCTGTGTCACCTACTCTCTGTTCTTTTTCAGCACACAACGGTTTTGCCCTTTCTCTTAATTGAGATGAGGACATCGCACCATCAGTATCCCAGCAGGAGCTGCAGCCTCCCGGCCATATGTACCTTCTCCGTTGGCTATATATTATGGTAAGGACTGTCCCCGCTGGGCTTTCATCGTCTATTAGATTCTGCACTGCTAAATTCGGGCACATATTTCATTATGGATATAATCACTAACAGATTCACACTGCGTGCTTCATTTGGTCCAAGACCTGGGCTTTGTCTCATTTCCCCAGATGCTTATATTTTTAGAAAATATATGCCAAACCTCACACAACAGGAATTTGTTGAACAATCCCATGTAAGCAGTGGTTCTTCCAAGGCTGCATTTAACCCTCTTTCAAACGAAATGTTTTTCTTGGAGACTCTCTTTATTGCTTAAGGGCTGCTTTGCTTGAGTTTGTTGTTATTGTTGCTTTTGTTGTGGGGGGTGGGGGAGAGTGGTAATAAAAACAGAAAACTTACTTCTTTTTTTTTAATGAATTTTAATGGCATGACTTTAAACTTTATACGAAAATGTACATTTCCCTCCCCACCCCCAAGAGTAATTTCAAAATTAATTCCAAGTTATCACACACAGTTCATTTAACTGTGCTTTGGGTTTGGAACTTTTGCTTTTTTGTTGATTTTCATATTAGTAAATAAACCACAAGGAATCCATACTTGGCTCACAGGGCACAATTAAGTCCCCAGTGTGAGGTGCCGGCGTATGGGCTTATCTGATAAGAATTTTTGTCTGATGAGTTTATTTCATGTTAATGTTCATTTGTACCATGCTTCAACTTTTCAGAAGTTATTTATCTTGTTAGAGAATTTCTTCCTTTCTCTTTGTCCCTTTGGATATATTAACACATACAGAAGAGGTTGCTCCGGCCAGCCTCTCTGTCTTCTGGGACTTTGTTGTCCTGAGTTCTGGGTCACCATCCCCTCCTTTAAGCCTGAAGAACTGTGTAACTTGTTCTTCCAAATACCCAGAGCTGTACTTAATCACAGGCAATGTCCCCAGAGCTCAATGGGAGGCCAGGTTTCTGTGAAGCTTTTTGCTTGAGCCAGCCCAGAAATACAAAAGTCAGTAACAGTTCCTCACATACTTTGCATAATTGATCATATAACAACCCAAATCTAAGCAGAGAGGGAATTTGGTGCTGAGAAGTCACACCCTGTGACTGGTTGTAAGGGAACACCCAGACAATAGACCCCAGAACAAATGTGTGGTAAGGTTCACCCATCTGTCTCTTCATCAACAAGTCAATGAATATTTTCTTCATCACTTCCTAGATAGTTGTGTTTCCTCCTGTAAATGTAAGTGTTTACTTTCTGTAACACAAAAGGGACAAAGCTTCAGGGTGTAAGGTGAAGTGTGATAGTCAAAAGTCTTTATAACATAAATTCATGTGGATGTATACCTCTAACTTGATATTCAATATGACACAGTCTTTCAGAAAAGTCAAACAAGTAGGTAACACAATTATCCCAGGGGTGCTGCAATGTTGTTCCAGAGCAACGTCATGTTGTTGTTGTTGTTGTTATTGTTGTTATGTGCAGTCGAGTCGCTTGCGACTCATAGCAACCCTATGTACAACTGCCCTAAACTCTGCTCTGTCCTGTGCCAATCGCACTGTCTCTGACACTCCCATCCCGATTATCCCAGTCACTGAATCAATCCACCTCATAGAGGGCCTTCCCCTCCTGCACTGTCCATTTTCCTAGCAGTCCATAGAGGCTTGGAAATGTCAGTTGTTGCTGAGTGAAAGTGGCTGTTGTGTACTAAGTACTACGTACTACATTCTTTCTTGTAGTATTGGATGAGGTTCATAACTGATTGAAAGACCATTAGAGGAGCTAACGGCAGAATACCAAGAAACAAGAATTCGGCTGTAATAAAGCTGTATCATCTAAGTGGCATGCCATGACTGGTCAACAGTACAAGCCAGTTTGTTAGGGTTAGAGCCAGTGAGGTAGAGGAGGTAAAAGTTCACGCCTGGTAAAATATGTGTTGTCAGGACCAGGAAATAGATACTGACATGGTGGAAAAATCTGTCCACCAGGAAGTAACCTAAATAGTGTTTTATGCACGCGCATAACATCAAAGCACTGCAGACCAGAAGAACCACCTAGCAAACTTTGAACTCTCCAGGACAACATCTCATTGGCCCAAAACCCAGCCCCAAGGCATACCCAGGCCAGGAAGCCTGACACTGGAGTCCTGTCCATGGCATACTACTGTCCCTCATTATTTCCTTTCTGGGGAAGACAGTTCATTCTTTTGGGATGAACTTATGCTGATAAATTTGTCTTTTTTTTTTTCTTTTCTATATCTCCATTTCTGTCTCCTCACTTTTCTTCTCGGCCTCCTGCTCTTACAGAGGCCTCAGCCTACACTCTTGGCCTAGTGCTCCAGCAAGGCTTCAGCCTACACTGGGATTGTTCTGAGCAAGACCAGCATTGGCCCTTTTAAGGGCTAACCACCCTAAATCAGCCCTTTTAAGCCTCCACTCAACTGCCCACGCTTGTAGAGTAAAGTCTGTTTTCCTGATTGCTGTGTTGATAGTGTGGGCCCCATTGTGCTCTCCTCTGACCTTTCCCTGCCTGCTTTCATTCTTTAACTTGGTGAAAAGAGGGAACAGGGTATTGACTCCATGGTAAGAATTTGGTTTATTACAAGGTGGTCCTAGGATGGCAGATAGGATAGTTTTTCTGATAAACTCAACTCATTGCGGTCAAGTTGGAATCAGCTCATAGTTGAACCTCTAGCAGGTGTTTCAGCAGCTGTAAATTGATCCATTTCTGCTTGCTTGGATCCACAATCAACACTCTTAGCACTAGCCATCAGGAAAGCAAAAGACAAATTGCATTGGGTAACTCTGAGTGCTAAAGAGCAGTGATGTCAACCTAGAGACTAAGGTGTGCCTGCTCCAGGCCATATTGTTGTTGTTGTTGAGTACCATCAAGTAGGAACTGACCCATAACTGGTCCTCCAGTAGGTTTTCAGAGGGTGTTAATTGCAGGGGAGGAGATTCCCCATCCTTCTCCCATGGAGCAGCTGGTGGATTCAAACCACATGCCTTTGGGATTATAGTGCAGTTTCTTACCACTAGACCCCCAGTCTGAACAATTATTTGCTATACATCAGAGCTGAGCAATGAATAGGGGTGATAGAAGAAAAACGGGTACCTTCGAGTTGGTGCTGGAGAAGAATATTGAGCACCACCAGTCTTCTTGAATCCTCTTTCTGAAGGTCCATAAATGATGATATTTATCAAACAGAGTTCAAGTCTTTTGTTCATAGGGTCGCTATGAGTCCTGCTAGATTTGATAGCACTTAACAATGACACCAATAGTAGAGATTTAGCTGATATTGTATTTCAATACCATGACTCATAGCCTTTCTATAATTAGTGACATGTATCAAAGTTCATAGAGTTTCTGGAGGCATGTTGTTTAGGAAGTGGATGCCACTCCTGCTTCCAATCTAAAATAGATTAAGTGTTGCCCTTTTGACCCTGTTTTTAAAAAAAATATATCAAAACTGCCTATAGCATTCATTTAAAAACCAGTCCCTCTTCACCACCACTTATTTGCCACCCATCCCACCCCTAAGAAAAATGACCTCTTTACTTTGCACTCATACTTGTTTACCTGTAGGAAAGGAGGAACACTTTGCTCTGGAATTTCTGAGTGTATTTCTGTTAATTCATTTATATACTGTTAAATTGTCTACATTGCATGGAGCCCAGTGGTTTCAGGAATTACATGCTTTCTGTTGGCTTTTCTCGTTTCTTTCTGATTGTGAGTCCAATCAGACGGTGTTCCAAAGAGACACATGAGAAATATCACATACTCATTATTGTAAGACCCCTCAAGTCCCCTCATTAGCATGAAGCTTACTCCCATGCTGCCCGCCAAGTGAGCCTTGCCAGGTCCACAGACTCCCTAGCCAACCAGTACTTGTTTGGACATGTATTTCCATTAACCAGCAAATTCTCCCAGATTTGTTCTGAGAAGGTTTTCAAAGTAGACAGTTTTCCTTTGGTCTTCTGCCCTAGGCGTTCACGGCATTGCCAAGAGTTAAACAATGCCCCTCACATCATGTCACATTGTACAAATCCAAGGATTTTTTTTTCATTCTTATCAAAAGGATACTGGCTTTTTTGCTCCACTCCAGACTACCTCGGGGTTTGCATGCTAGTGATAGGAGGGCAAGACTCAGGATAAGAAATCTTTTGATAACAAGCTAGTGTTGTCACTGGGCATTCCAGACCTCGTGCCAGAATTTCAGCAAGCATGCCTCTTATTGCTCCTTTCTTATAAAATAAACAGATCTCCCTTGTAAGGTGGGGTATGGTTGAGCCGAAGCTCTGCCCCCGGGGCCTTTCGGCCAGGCTGGCTGGCTGCAGGCCCTGGGCCTAGCTCGCTCCCCAATCTCACAAGCACCCTCTCTGTCTAAACCTCTTCTGTGCCTGGATCTGAGAGCAAGGCTGGAGACAGCACTGCCAATGCTGAGAATCTCGCCCTCCGTTAGGAGTGAAAGGAGAGGAGTTTTAGTGAGGAATAATATAGCTCAAGCTGGTCGGGCTGCTGAGTGAAAAATACAAGACACTGCCGTTCTAAAGGAGAGAATTGGCGCTTTACAGAGAAAAGGGTGTCCGTGATCGAGTGCTGAGGAGATTAAAATCTGTTTGAGCTGGAAAGAAGACCTTGGAAAGGTAAAGGTCGCTGCTTGGCTAGAGGGAGGGACTGAGCATGTTAGTGAGGGCCACCAGCCGGTTTGGTTATGCATGATTGCCGTCCTGGACACATTTACCCCTGGGAACAAATTATCTCTGTCTTGACACCTTCCTCCCCTGAACAAATGGTTTCCAGGCTGACCTTTTGCTTCCTGAGAATGTGCAGTGCACATGGTTGCTTCATTCGTAGTCTGACTTGACCACCTCCAGTGTGAAGCTTTTCTGTTTACAGCATTTTCCTCACAGGAGGGAGCCCGTTGAGCTCTGACCCTCCCTCTGTCACCACCATTGCCCAACTTCCACCTCCGTCAGTAGCTTCAGGCTTCCCAGCCTGATATCTGAAGCCGCCCCAGACATCTT